TGTTCTTTACAAATGGATCATGAAGATATTGCTGTTATTTCTCATCATTATTAATGTATACAATATAGCAAATTCACACTCTGGTCGTAAGCACAGCCATGCCTTCGATGCCTTCAGGCATCAGTTTCCATCTACTAGAAAAACAAGGTGTCAGAAAGAAAAAATTCTGTTTCATAAAGAAATTAAAGAGTGCCAGTATAGTTGTCTGCTTTAGTGCTACACAGCATCACAGAGCAACATCTCTGATTTCCACTGGATCATGCTGCAGCACAGAATCACACAGAATCACAGAATTGTAGGGGTTGGAAGGGACCTCCAGAGATCATCGAGTGCAGCCCCCCTGCCAAAGCAGGTTCCTTACCAGGTTCCCTACACCAGGTCGCACAAGTAGGCGTCCAGGCAAGAAGAATATCTTCAGAGAAGGAGACTCCACAACCGCCCTGGGCAGCCTGTTCCAGTGCTCCGTCACCCTCACCATAAAGAAGTTCTTGCACACATTTGTGCGGAACTTCCTATGCTCCAGCACATGAACAGAGCTGTGCAAACAGCTGATTTTTCAGTGACCAAAGTATTGAACCGAAGTGTTGAAGAAAGTCTGATCAAGGTGATCCACAACCAAAAATAACAGGAGATACCAGTCTGAACTTCTTCTGCATCTGAATTAAAAATAGGAAAATACGTTTCTGTTCATATAACTTATTTTATGTCAGATGCTTATAATAGAAGTAAAGGAATCAAAGATCTGGAGATGAAGCTAAAAAAATCAGCAAAAGAATAAACTAAAAACTTCAACAAACAACTAGGAATTGAACAAAGATCTCCTGAATAGCAACTCAGTAGCCTACCACAACGTCCCAGTTTGATTTCTACTGCATATCTTCATGGCAGCACAGTAAAGGCTACTAAGGGTATGGGCTTTCATCGTGACAGTGTTTTCAGTGCCAGAAAAGTTTTGGTTCATTAGTTTGTTGCAAAAATGTTGTGATAATATATTGCATATGATGCATATAATGAGTAAATAGTAACTGTTGGTAGCCATACACATCTAATATCAGTCTTAGCATCTGTCACTATGGAAGTTTTCTTGCCATAACAGCAATTTCACTGATTCACTAGATGTAGGCACTAATATGTGCCACACTGAGCTTTAGGAAGCAATGAAAAATTATTAATAGACTAAATACACAGTAAGTGGAAGATGAGGTCCAGTATCTAAATAATTGTTAGTTTCCTATTGACAGTAGAGGTAAGTGCAGAAGCAGGGAAGCTAGGCAACTTTTAACGTTCTACCCATGGATGGAAATGCCTTGAGGACAGGTAATGAGATCTTTGCTCTTAGCTTGGCTTTTATTACTTACCATACATCAATGGGCTCATGATTTAGTGAAATAATTATTCAACAGAACAACTATTCAATTGCTGAACATGAATATGAACAGGTGAATAATCCCAATAGTTTAACTGTATATGTGGTTACGTTTTCAATTTGTATACTTCTTCAAACTGTCTCTGTTCAAAAACATTTTTACTTATAAAGTTTCTAAAGTAGCACAATACAAAGGCACTGACTTCAAACAGAAACTATTCATAAGGATACATCTGCAGAAGTTAAAACATCTACTGCTTTTATAAAAGTCAGGAACCCAAGATATATTTGAAAGCTACATAAAGATCAGGTCATCTGGGCTTACTGAAATACTTCTTACCACACTCTCCAGAGCAATAAAACAAGCATAAAATTGGGTAAAAGACACCTTCCAAAGGAACAGAAACAAACCATTGCTTGTACTTTCTACTTATTCTCTTCCTTTAGACATCTCAAATTTTCACTTTTTAAGGCCTCATTAGTTTTGTTTTAGTTTTATCATGGACATTTTAGGTCTCTAAAGATATTTGTTGGATGTACTATAAATAATAACAGGCACCATGTAAGTTATTTTAAAACAGATGTGTTAAAATAACTAAAAAACCTCCCTTTTATTTGACTACTTTTTTTATAAGATAAATAAACTATTTCCTCTTCTTAAATCCTTAAATATCCAAGATCATTTTTTAATCTCTATCCTGTTACTTTTAATATTTAGTTGCTATGCTAGACAGCATAATTCTTCTGCTATAGTCAGCTAGCTCCCATGATGGAACTGTGTGTGAAGGATATGCAGAGTGCCTTTCCCACTGAGGACTGCTTGAATTCCACAGGGGAATGTGAGCAGATGGGCTATTTTCAACTGAAGATAGCAACTTAGCAAATAACAATGCCATGCTGTCATTTTGATGTGAAAGGTAGCAGTGTGTTACTGTGATTAGTATTATTTAAGGGCTGCTTTCAAGTTAGCTTTACAGTCAAAAATGTGTAAATATTTAATTTTTTTTCTAAGCAAACACAAACCAGTTCCTTGAGTGGAAACAGAACATGTCTGAATTGAATGTACTACTGAGTTAAAATGATGGTTTCTTTCACAGGAAAAACATATCAAAAGAAATGTATCCGATGGAACTCCAGTCTTGACAGATGTAGATAAATAGGAATTAAAATACAGGACTAGTGGTTGTCACTGGAAACATAACTCAGAATTTAGTCCATGGTGTATTATAAATTTAGCACAGTTTTAACTACAATACCTAAATTTGAAAAATTGCTCCAACCAAATATAACACCTCTTTAGAGTCTTCCCTGTTTCACAGCACCGTCTAACCAACTGTTGGCCTTCAGTGTAAATGCTGAGATAAAGGAATCAGATCCATCTACCAGAAAACTGTATTATGCATTCTGGACCCACTATCTGAACTTTTTACCAACATGTAATCCTACAGACAATCCAGATGCACGAGACTGATCCATTACTCCTGTGGTAAAAAGTACAATGAGGTCAACGTGGATTTCCTGTCTATTTTATCTATTTTTCTTTCTTGTTTACCACTCACTACTTGTCTTCCCCTTTCATCCACCCATATTGGTTTTCCAAAGTTTTGCAGAGATTCTGCATGAGCACAACAATCAGCATCTGACCCCAGACATCAAATTAAATTAGGAGGGTAGATTTACTGCTCTCACATGAGTCACATTCTACTTCCAGTAAGATTCTGCATCCAAACCTTGAGATAAGTCTACTGTGCAGTAGCAACAATCGTCTCAGTGCAGTTTAGCTGCTGTTTATGTGATAGGAGAAAGAAAACAGGCAGCCACTTCTAAGACTCAAGTAAACACCCTGTTGCATTCCCAAAGAACACAAGCTGTTTCCTGCTTCCTTCCACTGTCTCTCTTTTCCAGGGACTAAAGGACTGACAGTTCTTCCAACCCAGCAGAAAACACAAATGAGGCTCTACTGGAGATTGCAAAGGAGGGAGGGAGAGCAGCTTTGTGACTTCTCTGCTTCTCTCTCAGCCCTACTTTGTGCTCCACCCAGACACAAAGTGAACCCTAAGCAGTTACATGTCTGGACTTAAAGATTACAAGACAGAAAGCAAATGGCTCCTTTTACTCTCCTTCTATATATGGAACTCCCATCGCTTTCCATGGGTGCTCCCTTTATAGACAGACAAACATCAGGTCAGAGGAGATGGAAGAGCTTTTTACCTGCCAATCCCAGAGTTCAGGATGTGTTGTTTCTCCTGCAGCAGTTGATGACATCCTAAAACCTTAGCAGCACTGGAGCTGCATTCCTACGCTGTAACAGGGGAAGCAGGACCAAAGGCCTGAACTAAGGTCTTGGCAGGTAAGTGAAGGAACAGCAAGCATCAAACAGCTTTATTTAGAAGTTTACATCTTTGTAATGTTTAAGTCTTAATATGTGCTCTGCTTTACCTGGGAGCTTAAACTGACAATTTTCAAAAAGTAGTTGAGATCACCCATTAACTCTGACAGATGCTTGAAAACATATTGATAAAACTCAGAAATGCAAAGGTGCCGGAAGAAAAGTCATTTGTACTAAAAATGTCCCAAAGTTGGGATTTTTTAGAACTGAGTACAAATTATTCTGATTAATGCAGGAGGGAAAGCTTTACAGTATCAGCATACTTTTGCATATCTCTGCTTAGAATGATTGAGAGCATCACTGTATGATAGAACCTAGATATTAAAAATTAGAGCATCCTTGGGTCTGAGTGGGAGGATTTTTTTTGCTTGGCTGCTTGTTTTCTCTCAATTGAACACCTGGGGAATACCCAGTTAAGGGAAGTTACCTTCTTACTACTTTCCACTTCTTAAGCTTTATTATTGGAACCACGGTTCCTGTATGAATACATAAGTTATTCAAAATGCACATTATTTCAGTAATCATTAGGGACTGTATTTTTTCTCTGTCAGTACCATGGTACAGAACACGCATAGAGAGCATTCATAGAAAAGTAAGTGATGCAAATTACCAGCTCAAAATCGGCAACAACAAAGCAAGAAACACCTCATATTAAGGAAGTCTCTTTTCTTGTAAGATTTGCTTCTAATAACATGAGGGCAACAGAAGCCTTTCATTTGAAAGGACGGAAACTTTTATATTTTGGAATGAAAAAGAAATTTGAATTAGATGAAATTGCAAGGAAATGCCACATGTTAAGTTCTGTATCCAAGCCATATACTGACTCCATATCCAAGAGACTAAAAAGGGAATGTTCATAAAGAACTGGTGGAATAGCAATATCTCATCAGTTCAGATATTCTTATCCCCCTTATCCTTATTGTTACTAACATTATTCACGATTTACTAAGTAAACTCACTCCAAACATGATCTCTGACTTTTTGTCCAACTTTCAGTGGATAAACTGTCAGTTTAAAAAAAAAATCATACATTCTAATAACACATGTTAATTAATATTCACCATTATTACAGGAAAAAAATTGTTGTCGAAAAATTTCTCTCCGAAAGTTGGGTATAAATTTTAGTGGTAAGAGTGAAAAATTACACTTGAAATATGTTTATAGCTTTTGAAAGTTTGCATTATTGTAGTCGTTGTTTTAAACTAACATTCTCTAGACAAAATAAAGTGTTGTACTACATTGCAGCCTCACTGTTAGGAATGAAGATAGAGGAGACAATGCAGGAAGACCAACACATACAACCAAAATGGAAAGCATCCAAGTTATTGAAGAATGGTAAGTTGCTGAAACTTTGTTCAGTTATTTTTTTTTTAATTTACCTGTAACTAATTTGCCTTGTTTTTTTTAGACTTCTAAAATGATTCAAAATCATTTTACATTATCATGTAATGCTAACAGTGCCTTACTGACAGTTTCATATTTATGAGTACAAAGCAATGGAGAGAAACAGAAGATGCGTGAAAACAGTTAAATCGATCCATGGGCCTCTGCTGTTTGTGGAATCGTTTTCTTCTACTTACCCTGTCAAGAAGGAAAAATAACTTGGACAAAAGTGTATTTTACAGTCAGAATTTTTAACATGCTTAATTTTTGTACATCAGCTTGGTTTATGGTTTTACATGAATTGCCTAAGGAAACACACATCTTGAGAGACAGGCGTACATATTCTGAAAGTCTGAGCTTCTGTTTCTGTTTGAAGGTTGTGCAAATATTTGTTGTGTTGGGAAAAACCTGAACTTGTGGCTTTAAGTTCTTTAATCCCATAAAAAGTAAATTAAAACTTAATTCAGGAGGATATGATTGAATTTAAAAGCAACACAAACAAAATATCTCAGTACCACCATTGTTTTTCATGTTTTGAAAGGATAAATAAAAAAACTTCCACAAAATACAAAAGCACTATAGACTTCTCCCCTTACTGACAGAGAACATGTAGTGAACTGACTTGACAGATTTTTTTTTTTTTTCTTTATATGAGAATGTCTTAATTGTTTATATCCTCCAGTTGTTTTATGCTGAACTTTAGTACAGTTGAGCACCCTGGAATTCAGGTCACCTGCAAAGAATTTACAGAAGCACTCCATCATGATGAATCTGTTTACTTCATGACATTCCCTGCTGGGATTAAATGTTTCGCAGATTTTAACGCTGCAGCTTTGTAGCTTTGCTTTGCAAAGGAAGTACAAAGCTTAATGAAAGAGCTCACTAATGGTCCAGATCTTGAATTCTGGGGAGTTTATCAACATCGTTGTTGGTGTTAGGCAGAAGAAAGGAAGACTGAATGGTCTGTCAGTGGAATATTAAGAGTGCAGGGGTGTGGCTTCACATGAAGAAGTCGTGGTTAATTCAAAGCTGTGAATTAACAGCTCCCTGCCTTCAGAGATTTGCCTTCTGTGCTGTCCTTCTGCTCCCTCCTCTTCTGCCTCCCCACCACTAACTGTACCCCAGCTGATACTTATCTGAGCTGATTCAACTCAAAAGAAAGAGGTGGAGGTAGCAGGTAAAGAGATTGTTTAGGTAAAAATTAATCCTAAATAATTTAATTCACCTCGGCCATGTTATAAAACTGCATCTTGCATAACTTAAGGTACTGGTACAGTAACTCTAGATCATAACATAGGCCAGCTGAATTTAGTCTATGGCAAAACCTATAGTTTCCCATCGACTGCTAGTGAAACTTATATGAACTTATTAGGTAAAATTCAAACAAGGGCCAAGTATAACCTCAGCAGTGCAGCTACTCACAGATCCACTTCAAAAGCTTTGGAGGTAAAGAGATGTGTTTATACCTTGTTTTGTCTATACCAGCTCTTAAGTTAGTAGATTCTGCAGAAACTGCCAGTTTTTGTTGCAAAAAATGGAGGAGGTGTGAGCAGAAGGGTGCAAGGACTGCAGAATGGCCCTTGTCCTGTCCTCAGTGTCCCATTTTATATGATGTACTCCAGTTGTAACTGACTGGCGCTGCTCTCAGCACACATCAGGCCTGTTCTGTGTGTCATGGCTATACCTGAGCAGCAGGTAAGAGAACATCCATAGGTTTAAATATCCTATCTCAGTGCTGACCTCTTCTTTCATGTACCTAGGAACAAGGAACATTTAGACACTGCCCTGATGCATTGTTTAGGCTGCCTTTCATGTCTAACAAATTTAAGACTTCAACAAAGGAGTTTTCTCCTATTTCCCAAGATCAAGATAAGTTATTTAGACATAAATGAGACTTAGTTTATCAAATTGGAGATTCTGCATGATTCTCTTTTTAAGCTAATCTAGTTGTATACCACAGGGCTGTTATTCACAAATCTCCTCAGGAAACTGGCATTTTGGAGGGGGAATGGGAAATCAGTTTTTAATGAAATGATATACCTTACAGATGTTTTACATCTTAATAGATGAAACTCGATCAAAATGGCCTTACTCTGTATTTTTTCATATATTTTTATATTCATCCAACTGCAGTAAAGATATTTTCCAAACTGATAACTAGGCAACATGGATTGCTTGCCAGCTCCACCCTTTCCAGCAGATTCATTTCACTTTCTTCAGAGAGAAGACTTTTCACCATAAAATCTGCATGTTTATACTTTTTTGTTTTTCTGTTTAGTTTAAATGTTAAATCCTTTCTCATTTATTAGATCTTTTAGTCTGCCAAAAAAGTGTCATAAATAGCTTCCTGACACCCACTCTGTCTTGCATGCAGACTATCAGTTGAAAAATGAACTTAAAATTATATGGACAAATGTCACTTATTGTGCAACATGATTACAAAGACAGTGTTAACAGCAGACTCTAAAATTCTTGTGTTGTATTCTATCAGGAAGGGGAGGATGAGCACTCAAAGTGTGAAACCATGCTTAGCTGTTGTTAAGTAACTTGAGTATGACCTTCTCAGACTTTTCATTTGTACCTTATGGATTAGTGGCAAAGACTGGTCTTCTGTTCATTCACTCATCCTGTGCATCCTGTTATGAGCTGTAAATAGCCTCCTTCAGAAAATGGAATAAGGATTTTTTCCCATTTCTTCTCTCTCCAGTTTTGCCAGAAACATCCATCACATCTTGTGCCAGTAAATCATCATTCAGGTCAATAGCACCAGAGAGAAGCTTAGCAACCCTTAGGTACAAGCACAGAGAAATATGCTAATTTAAAAGCTCTCTGAATTACTATTTTGTTGGCCTTCATTAGTATGCTCCTGACTGCCAAGAACCTTTTGTTTTTCCCGTCTTTGCTGAACCAAATTGTGTGGCAGGCAGAGATTGGCCAAATCTTATCAGAAGCAGGCAGAGACATGAGGTGTCCCTCAAGCCTGACAGGACAGAGAACCCACTGTCAGCTGCCTGCATTCATATCTCCTTTAACTGCAGGGCAGGAATTCACTTCTGTCACTGGATTTTTCTTTAGTCTGATGGTGAACAACACAAGTAGAAAACTTGCAGAAAGCCAAGTGCATGTCTCTTAATATTAAACACATTTAGTGGGCTATTGAGATAATGAATGAGCAAGTGAAGAGTGAACAAATTTCTCCTGTCACTGCTGAAGCCTTGTTGATTCTGGTTTTCACTTTGGACTGAAGTACAGCAGAAAGGATAAATTTTGGACAAATGTATGAAAACACTGTTACAAAAATAGAAACATATTTGTAATGATATTTTGCTTTTGCAGCCAAAACCCTACTGCAGATGAAATTTTGTCTTGGGCTCAGAATTTTGACAAGATGATGAAAACACCAGCTGGGAGGAACCTTTTTAGAGAGTTTCTTCGAACAGAGTATAGTGAAGAGAACCTGCTTTTTTGGCTTGCATGTGAAGATCTAAAGAAGGAACAGAACAAGAAAGTTATTGAAGAAAAAGCAAGACTTATATATGAAGATTACATTTCTATACTTTCACCAAAAGAGGTAAAGCCGTAAATGTTTGATTGGCTTCTCCTATTCCAGAGCAGACATGCTAAATCTGGATTGCCAGAAAGGGTCGAAAAGTCTGCCTGATCTGTCAGATGAGAGCAATTCTCAGTATAGGAGATTAAATGAGAAAGAGAGGGATGGAACATGTGCTGACATAAGGACCGAGCTGTTTAGAATCACTGGCCACAACTCCTCAAAGCTCTCTGTACAAGAGGAATGAAAGGGAAATTCCAGAAACAGAAGGGTAAGAAACAGGAAAGCTTCTTTAGTAATGCAACTTGCCTGCCAAAGACACGAAGTACATCATGAAAATGGATTTCTGGAGAAATGACGCCAAAATATTCAGCAACATATGACAAATAAAATAATATTTAACATGGTATTTAAATAATGGAATAGATTCACAATTAGTGTCCTGTACAACACAGGGGGATTTAAGTCAGAATAATAACAGATTTATCTGGTGCAACAGCTGTCTGGGGAAAGAAGCAAAATTTGCTTTGGTTATTCCTAGATACAATCAAAATAGTCTAAGAATTGTGATCACATATTTCCTCTAATGAAAAGTGTGATAATATCCAGGAAATTATAAACAGTTTTCTTCAGTTCTCCAACTGAAATGATTTTCAAATGGAGTGGAGTAAAAGCATCAAATCACAGTTTGGAACAGACAAATATATAGATATACAAAAGACAGATAAATAAATATGCAGGCATTGTAGAAGAGTTTCTTAGGCTACGTTCGTCACGTTTAGTTAGTCACATTTAGCAACTCTTCTTTGTTTCTGTGTGTGTTAATTTATGCTTACTTATGGACCTTGCTTGCTACATTTTACCTTTGTACTGTTTTTAGTAATAATTTGCAATTTCATCCTTATGAAGGAAACCCACAGCCATTTAAAACTCCCTTACATTCTCTGTAAAATAGTGTATGTTTTAACTTTGAAGTGAGATAACTGTGAATACAGCAAGCTACTGTATTTCTGACAGTATATATGTGTATCTAGTATACACATATTTACTATATGCCCTGTTGCTTTCCAAAGCCAATAGGAACCAGCAGCTAAGACTAAAAAACTCTTTTTGGACTTAGGATTTAAGAAAACTGCTCACAAACTTCATGCCCTGTACACGCAAGGATGTCATCAACCCAACTTCTCCTGCCCCTACTGGAAACCATATGAGGCAAATGAGAACAGTTTGCAATGCTTTAGATCAGAATGGGAGCTTTAAAGTTCTCAGTCATTCCAGCATCCTATTCCAGATGAAACTTTGGCATAGGAGCTGAAATATTCAGCCTTGTTCAGTGATGAAATCACTGAGGCAGGATGTGCTAAACAAATACCTTGTACACATCTATGTACCAAAGAGATAACTTTAATAATTGCAATTAGTATTGCCATATGGCTTTAGTGAGTCACTGAAAAACTACAATGTGAATTAAGAGATCCATAATTAATTTGTTTCATTCTATAATGGCAATTAATTTTTACAGTATTCAATAGCAAAGAAACACCACTATCCTGCCAAATGTGAGCTTTCTTGTTTGAGCCATTTTGCTTGGTAATGAGGAATCTGTTGGCTAGCCTCATGAACTGATCTTGCTAAGATATGTGCCTGCATGCACATGTCAGAGGGAAGCAATTGCTTAAATCTTAATGTGTATTTTCCTCATAAGTTTAAATCATAGTAGCTTAGCTCATCCTTGCTCAGTATTTCTATAGTAGATGTTCTATTGTTTTTCTTAGATGAGAAAACCCTTGCTGGTTCCAGTGCTGGTCCCTGCTATAGCCATTCTGCTTAATCCAGAAAGCACTAATTTTATTGTTTACATTTTTTTTTACTAGAGTTTAGTAACCTGTATATCCACTCCAACTTCTAAATGATAATCTAAAATCATCTGTGCATTCTTCCCAAGCATAATATGCCATTTTCTGACTAGGAAATTAAATTAGAAGTTAAAACTGAAACTTTCTTACAACTTCAGTGGGGACACATGACAACCTGTAAGTATAAATTCCCAGATGAAAAGAAGAGCAAATCTGAAATATCCAATATTAATGGGGAGATTAATTAAAAAAAAAAAAAATCTGGCTAACTTGTGAGTTATAAGTGTAGCAAATGAAAAAAAAAATGGAAAAAAAATAGTCTGTGACACATTCAGAGGAGAATGCTGAATAAGAAGCTTCTACATATTGAAGCACTACTGATCAGAAAAAACAACAACAACATTTCAGCTCTCCAAAAAAGGGTCATTCAACATTCCTTTTGAGAAATATGTCTAAATATGTAAAAAGTAAAATGTTTCAGCGTATAATAACTTATTTTGGGAAATCCAGGTTAATGCAGAACTTTATTTAGTAGCACTGTATTGTTAAATAGAAGTATTTCATCTTACAGCTATTAAGATGGATGCAAAGACCACAGCAAAACTGAAATAAAGTCAACCATCTGAGTTTGAAATCACGTGTGTGCATTTTAGAACAATGGCTCTGAAAGTCAGAATATACCTTGAATAAAGCAATGAACCTGACATGTTCAACAAACCATATGAAATAAAGAGATTTCTACTACCTTTCCAACATTGCTATATAATATCCATCTGTTCTCATCTTCTTCAGGTTAGTCTTGACTCCCGGGTGAGAGAAGTGATCAACAGAAACTTGCTGGATCCCAGTCCTCATATGTATGAAGATGCCCAACTCCAGATATACACCTTAATGCATAGAGACTCTTTCCCGAGGTTCTTGAACTCTCAAATTTATAAGTCTCTTGTTGAAAGTATTACAGGCTCTACTTCTGAAACTTAGTTTTAATTTTAATTTTCAAATAAAATAACTTGATCTTTTCGGGGGTGGGCGGGACAGAAGAAAAGTAGTTTATTAACATCTGGAGCTGGGTTCCTGGAGAACTACACTTTAGCTCTACTCAGGCTACTGTGAAGAAAACAAATACATACTATGGTCTCTGTCTACATTTTTACCAAGGTCCTCCTTGCCTGAAATAGCATGGGAGGCAAACAACGGATTTGCCAAAATACATTTGTTTCACAACCCTTTCACCCAACTGCAGTCAAGATTGCAATGATGTATTTGTAGTTTTATGAACAGTCTCCTTGTGTATCCTCACACTGCATGTGCAAGGTAAAACTGCTTCACTTACCACTTAGTTGTTGCAATATTTAATCCAATAACATAAATTATATCTGTATTTAAGAACTTTTTTGTGCAATACAGTCTAATGGTACATAGAAACAACTGCAGCAAACCAGAAAGAGGCTTGCATTTTTTAACATCACTAACTGAAAAAAGCCAATTTTTAAGGTGTAGCATTACTCAACATGCTCTACTGAGTACAATACACTGACTTTTCGAAGCCAATATTTCTGTATAGAAAAAGAAAGAGCTATTTATCACTGTTTATTTAAAATAAATCACATGGAGGATTCCTCTGGTTGTTCACTGCCAAAACTGTGGCATTTTCATTACAGAGTTTGCAATGTCAAAAAAAAAAAAAAAAAAAAAAAAAGCACAAACCACTAAAAGGGATCCGTATCTGGGTGACACAATCTATGCGCTGATATTGTTTAATTGTTAAAAGAACAAAGATTTTCAATGTACATTTCAGATGTCAGATACTGTAATTGATTTATTAAAGACTGGCTATCCAGTTCTAACACTGTTGTATAATGTTATGTACTTCAGCAAAAAAAAAAAAAAGAAAAAAGAAAAAAGAAAAAAAATAAGAAAACAAAAAACAAACACAGAAAGCTTGATAATTTAGTTTTTTTTTTTAATAAAGAAATTTAATAAAAAATTGCCTACATGTAGCATTTTAGAGCATTTTAGAACATTTTGATGAATTGCATTTGTCCTGTAAGATTCTTTTTTTCTTTCTTTTTTTTTTTTTTTAAGGCTAAATCCAGTCAAAAAATGTTTTTAAGCAAAGTAATGTTTTACAAGGTGGTCGGTTAAAGAAGACTTAGCTTCTGGCCTCATTGATTTTGAGTAACTCCTTGAGAACAAGGAGTTTGGAATGTAATATTAAACCAAATTTCAAGGGCTCCTAAATCTGCAGTTCTTACCCAAGCAAAATGCCTACTGAAACTCAATGGGTATCTTTCCTGGGTAGAGAGTCCTGTATTGAGCCCTAAATGAGAGCTAATGCAGCGCAGTTCTCCAATCACTTTTCTGCCATGGTGGTTTTAGTAAGTGTTTGCTTGGCCTTTTTATCCAAAAATGTCCAATTTTAGGATGCATTTTGATGTTTAAAAAGAGAGTGACTTGGAACTTAAAAAAACCAACATCGTCATACCTACCATATATGAGACAAATGAGTGTTCACATCCCTCACAAACTGCTAAAGATAAACCATGAGATTGTTTTGAACACTAGTTAAATATATATATGTATGTATGTTTGTATATATATATATTTAACACTGTCAGCTCTGGTCTTGTACTAATACTTTAGAGGCAAGGTTCTTCTCACTTTCCTAGGACTAAACACAACATACTCCCATTGCTTTTGATGGGTCCAAAAGGTCTTACAGTTGTGTAACTAAGTGGAATCTAGCCCCAGCAAACTTGGCTCCAACCAGCAAGCTACTCCTTGGTGCCAGCTCTTGCTGAAATCGCTGCTACCGAGGCTGCTCTGGCTCTACACAGTAGCTGGTAGGAAACAGGTATTAGTTTATTTTCTGGGGCTTATTTTTTCCTTTATTTTACTACCTCTCTCTCTCTCTCTTTTTTTTCCTCTTAATTTATTGAACATGCTTCAAATAGCAAGTTGGGGAATTTTTTAGTCATTCTTTTTACTTGAAACCTGTGTGCTTTTTTTGGATATATAAGAACAATTTAACAAACTGTTTCTTAAACTCATTTGGTTTTGTAATTTATATAGAATTCAGGAGATGATTAAAAGGGCTATTCTCTATTCCCTATGCAACTATTTTAACTGTTGTAGTGTTTGACAGAATGGGATCTAAAAAAAAAAAACTACAAAGTGGAAAACAAATCTGTTTACAGTGGCGTTGCTGACTATCCTACCATATTCAGCACTTTTAAATATTGTTATTTATGAAAATGTAGTTTAAAATGCAAGACAAAGTATTTATAAATGTTTCTTTTAATAAATAACTGTTTTGTCTGAAAGTGTTATTGTGTTATGACAACTTTATTCATGTTGGTTAGTTACTTACCATTATGAATAAAATATTCAATTATTATAATGATAGAGTAATAGCTATGATGTTTACAAATCCTGAGGGGGGAGAAGTCAGTGAGAAAGGACTGCCTCCTTCTACTGTGAAATACTGTTAGAAGAATGATTTTTTCTGGCTTTTTTTCTTAACTGGAATTTAACTATGGTCCTACATATGTCTAGTATCATTTAATACCAGTTATATTTACTGTGATACTAAACATATACAGCATCATATATGTATATACTTACATAGTGTAATTTCAAGTTGGTTGGTGTTTGAGGCACAAACATTTGGTTCACACATCTAAACAATGTGTAAGACAAAACTGCATGCAAAAACCTTTACGAATGTAGACTTACATATTCTTAATGTTACTATTTGATGGTGACCTGCTAGTCATAATCTATCTTTATAAGATATTTCACATAGGGTAGAAGTTCTTGTCAGAAAAGACAAGTCATCCTTTCAAGGACATTTTTAAAGCTAACTGTGTGGGCCCTAAAATATTACCTGGATTTCTAGCTAAAGATTCCAAAACCTGTATTTGGAAACTGTTACATCATTTTGACAAATATTACACCAGTCTTCAGTGTAATACTGCAATGAAATCACGTTCAAAATTTCTTGTCTTAAATCCTCTATTTGGAGGGGTTTATAAACTGAACATAACTTGTATGAAGTTTCTTTCTTGGAGCAAATGCTCATATTAAGATGATTAATAGACATTTCATCTATCAGTTTGGGTTTCCCAAAATTTTATGAAAAAATGAATATAGTCCGAATGGACAACAACTTGTGCCATAACATGATCTCATTGCCTGTCATGCAGTTCTTTGAACACAAAATGTAAAACAGTCAAGCTATTAAACTGATTAATTGTGCATGCAGTGTACAATACACTTTGAAAAACTGCCTAAATACACTTATTCTATAGCCTGGAATAAAATAAGTATGTATTTAACTTGTATTTCAGTTTTTCATGAGAATGTATATAGCACTATGGAATGTGAGTTACGTTTTTTGTCATTTTTGTCTGGTGTTCGAGCTTTTCCGTCAAGCAGAGCACAATGCCAAATAGACACAAATAAGCAGAGCATGTGGGTACACTCGTAAGACCCTCAGGTTTGGAAGATACTTGAGTATATGTTGTATTTTGCACACATTCAACTTAGTGATGTGCATCTGAGCTGAAAGTGGTTTGAAATGCCCAGGATAAAATAAAACCACAGAAAACACCAAAAGTATCTAAGTTAGCTTGAAGACACATATGTATGGAAGAGACCTCAGTGTCCACTGGCCAGACCAGGCAGGGCAGAATGCCCTGGAAATGCGTCCACACTGTCTCAGACTCATCCAAGCATCAGTGGAACCCACAAAACCCTTCACAGCACCACAGAATCAGTGACTCACAGAGAGTTGATAGAAATCACACATTAATTATATCCTGCTTTAAATTGAAAGTATGCAGAAGTGTCTGCTAGGCTGTGATCTAAACAACAATATACAGTAGACCTTCATCAAGGTCATCAAATAAATGGGGTTTGAACTGTCATTTGATGCCAGACTTGCATCAGTAGTGAACACAACAACCATTTGCCTGTGAATAGTATATAAAAGAGGTGAGAAGGCCTTTGTAAGTAGCTGGCTGGTCTTACTGCATTAAGGAGCAAGAAGTTTCCATACTCAAACTATTGCTGCAAAAGCCCTTTATGTGTATTCCACACATTGCTTTGAATCATGTTTAACTATCAACTCCAAAACACTGCTTTGTTTGTAGAAGCACCCCTTTGGAGCAGCTTGGAATACAGCTGCAGCTGCCCAGCCCTGTTCACCTCTGTCCTGAGCACACATTGCAGAGATGAAACCTCAGTCCTTCTTGTGCACCTCAGACCTCAGGGCTTTGGCAGCAGGTGTGTCTTTTGCAATACAAAAGAACAATGCAGCAGTGGCACCAACATGAGCTAGAAAAAGGATTACATGAATTGCACTTTTGGGAAACAACTACTCTCATGTTATGCCAAGAGTCAGGTTTTGCCCCTTCCTTTATCCATAACCTGTCACTCAGTGGAATTACATCTTTCCCATTTAAAACAGGGACACAATCTACCTGTTACAACTTGGGGCGCTGCATGGGTGGGTGGCAATCGTTTGCAGTCACTGGGACCCACAATAACCAGGCTGCACTATGCACCACTGCCCAGCTTACTTCCACATTTACTTCAAGTAAGTTAATTCTACGCTACTGTCATAACTTTTGTCTTAGAGCTTTATTCAAAGTGGTGCATTAACACTCATGACCATGACGATTTATTCATGTACAACGATGCGGTTATTGCTATCTCACCAGGGTAGTTCACTTGTGAAGTATGGTTATGTCCTTCTGTTAAGACACAAACAAGAATGGAAGAATGGCAAAGATGTGACTTTGACATCCGGAACATAAACTACTGCCTAATAAAGTTTTATGCCAGTTGCATATTTTTACAATAACCTACATTATTCTTCAGTACACTTTCCGAGCTCAGCTCAACGCCACCCAGCCCCCATTGCACGCACTGTCAGCGCCGGCCAATCAGAGAGCACAGCCCCCCTCCACGAGACGAAGAGAGCCGAAACCCTTCGTTTGTTTCCGCCACGGGAGCCCCAATGGCTGAAATCGGGGCCGAGCCTCTTCGGCAGCTTCCGGAAACCCGGAAGGGAAACAGCCGAGCGCCTTCGGTTACCTCCGGCGCGATGGGCTGCCGAAAGAAGAGCTGAGTGCATGGAGCAGTCCTCAGCCGGTATGGGACTATTCTCGCGAGCTCTCTGCGCGGCCCGAAGCTGCCGGGCAATCGCACTGCCTGCCTGCAACTACCAAGCTGTGTCCGGCAGGGGCAGCGCGGCGGCAATACGTCCGCAACAGCCGCGGCGTGGGCTGAGCGCCCGGCCTCGCTTAGACGAACTGTTTGCCATCCCTTCCTTAAGCCGCCTCCTGGAGGCGCGGGTGCAGGGCGAGGCCGGAACGGAGCTGGCGGCGCGGATCCAGCAGCTGCGTGACAAGGAACGGGAGCTGCGAGACACGCGGGAGCTGGCACTACAAGGTGAGGCGCGTCGAAAGGCCTGTGCCCGGTCCCGCCTCAGGCCGCCGCGACGGGGAGGGCAGAGCCGAGATCTGCATGGGCGGGGCGTGCTGGAGTCCATGAGGCCTTGTGGGCGGTGCGGGGTGTAATTTGCATAACCCGACGTGATTGGGTGGCCTCCCGGAGGGGGCGGGTGCAGGCGAATGAGTGGCACTGCCGACCTGTAAGGGTATCGGCTGCGCATGCGTGGGATGCGTGCCGTTCCGCCGGGGCGCGCTCGGGGCTGCACAGTAGTGCTAAAATCTCTCGTTGCTTTGGCTGGAGGAGATGTCAAACGTTGTTCGAAAGGAAAATGTTTTTCCTTTTTTCTCCCCAGTTCATTCTTTCGACGTGGAGTGAAAAAAAGAGAAATGCTTCAGTTGGAAAAGTTATTAGTTGGCCCAAAGCTGTTAGTTTCTGTTATGTGGAAATAGAGTGAAGGATTTTTGTCTCCCTTCTGAACCCTTCCCTTCAACCTGATGTTGATCTTAAGTAAAGTGACCATAAGGGTTTGGTCGGTCACTGTGAGCACTTTTGCAGCTCATCCTTAATAATATTTCTATGTATTACATAGGATCATAGAATATGCAAAATTGAAAGGGCCCCACGTGGATCATAAAATCATCATAGAATAGCCTGGGTTGAAAAGGACCACGATGATCATCTAGTTTCAACCCTCCTGCTATGTGCAGGGTTGCCAGCCACCAGACCAGGCTGCCCAGAGCCACATCTAGCCTGGCCTTGAATGCCTTCAGGGATGGGGCATCCCCAACCTCCTTGGGCAACATGTTCCAGTGCATCACCACCCTCTCTGTAAATATCTAACCTAATATCTAACCTAACCTCCCATCTTAGTTTAAAACAATTCCCCCTTTTCCTATCACTGCCCAAGGATCATCGATTCCAACTCTTGGCTCCACACAGGGCCACCCAAAAATCAGACCGTATGTCTCGTAAGTGATTTTAGAGCTTGTTTTACATTTCTATATTAAAATATGCAATTGTGCTATGAAATAGGTTTGTTCTTCACAATTACTTAGTGAATATCTGATTCTGTTGGCCTTAATGCTAGACCTTGATCAGACAGTAGTCAGTCTAAAATAAAGAAGTAGATGGATGCAGGTGATCAATTTAATGTGTTTAAGGTATCACAGTTCATCAGCCACTCAGCCGTGTGTGCTTCTTGCCAGCTGTAAATAAAGCATACTTTTTATTGAAACCAATTTACACATGCTTTTTTTCTTTTCCTTCCCTTTTTGCAGAAGTGATTTAGAAAAAAATAATCCCCAGATGTTGAATGTGATCTTTAAAGACAACAAAAGTTATTTTTAAATGTAGTTAATTGCTCACATGAATCACAGTACCGAAAAGGTGTGTATTTGCTGTGAGGGTACCTCCCAGACTCAGCTGTGCACAAAGAGATGGTGGCTGGCATCTTTTGTTTTGGTCTTGTGCCATTGACTATGCAGTTCTGTCCTTGTGTTCCACGCCCTTTCATTATGTATGTAATTTACTCCTTTTGGAGGGTTTATTTTGTTTTCTTTTGGGCAATGAGCTGAATTACTACAGGTCAGAGGTGGTTTAAGCTGTATTTTGTTTGTCTGAAATTTGATAGTGACCAGAGAGAGAGAGGAAGGGACATCTTAACATATTTAAATAGTAGCACAGGAAAACAAGTCTAACTGTAAATTATGAGTGTTGATCAGTCAAGTATCATCTTAAAATTACAAGTTCCTCTTATGTGAGAACTCTTGAGTATTTATGTCTTTCAGCAGTGTGTTAGAAATTCTGCAGCTGCCTTACAGTAACTTCTTACAGATGGAGTACTTCAAGTTACTGCTACTGATGTGCAATTTTTACACACAGAGTCCTTTTAATGAAATGTTAATCGTGGGACTCTACGCTTTGATCCTTGATGTCCCTATCACAGTGAAATACCGGAGGGTGTTCCCCAGGATCCTGAGGTGACTGAGGTTGGAAGGCCTGTCAGGGAATGGCTCAGCCCACTGCCCAGAGCAGTCATACATAGCCCAGGGCCGTGCAGTTTGGGTCTAGCTGTCTGCAGGGGTGAGACCCCTGAACATCCCTGGGCAGCCTTCTCCATATTTTGGCCACCATTACAGTAAATTATGTTTTCTTTCTTATGCCAAAGTGGGATTGCTTGTGTTTCAGGTGTAGAAACATCTGAACACTGTTTGTCATTGTTCTAGATCGTAACATTAATCACATGTTCTGACAGATTTGATGTGATTTTGTTTATTTTGGAGAGTAAGTTCTTCAGATGGTTATTTTTCAGAAGGTTTTCTGAGGGTGCCACTTGTTTGAGTTTGAGGATTAACCATACTCAAATATTCCAGATGAAAGTGAAGATCTGCGGAAACTTGCAGAAAGGGAAATCGTTTCCTGTGAAGAAGAGATCGCTGAACTGAAACACCAGGTTAGATTGCCTCTGAAAGCTTGTTGTTTCCTTGCCATTCCTAAGTTAACAAAGCCAAGTTGTCCTCTCATTAAATAAGATATGTATGATGAACTCTTCTCCTTTCCCCCCTCCTGACCTCTGCCATCTGTACTCCTCAACCAGTGTCTGTTACCTAAAGAAAATGAAAAATGCAGATTGCATTTAGATAGTCTGTGGCTGAATTTTTTTTTATTAGTTCATCCTGATAGGTGGGTGCTGTAGTTTGTCTCTTCTGGTTGTACCTTTGTGGGTGTTCAGCTTGTTATTGGTTAGGAACTTTCAACTTGCATGATGTGGTTTTGAAAAAAATGGTGTAATACTATGTAACTGCTTTAGACTGCTACCTTGTATAGGTTCTACATAGTATCTATGGGTATTTGTATCAAATAGTTACCTTTATGTAAACTGCTAACATGTTCGTAATGCGACTAGCAAACTAGAAGCTGGCTGGCTGTTAGTAGAAATAGACTGTAACTCACATTCTTTGTTCTTTTGGCAGCAATGGAACAGTCATATTATTATAAATATCTATAAAAAAATAGATATTTATTTATTAATAGATATTTATGATATATGCTAAAAGAAGAAAGGGAAAGCTGAAGTAGAAAGAGACATCACCTAGTACTAGTAAAGAAGGATGATTGAAAATTATTTATAAGTCATACAGAGTTTTAATCAATCCTTCGGAACTATTATATAGTTTTTGGTTCTAATATTCTGGTATATCTTTATCCAACAGATCAATAAAGCCATCTCACCTTTAAATAAATAAAAATAATATAGCTGAATTGGTGTTGAAATGTAATCCAGAGCATCTTCTTAGTTCTGAAGTTGATATTGGTTTAAAGAGGAATCTAATGAGAATGGAGAAGTTTTGTTTTCCTGCAAGAATCATTATATATCCTATGGTGTGCAACTGGTGCAGTGCTTCTAATTGATGAAAAGTTCTATGAAGTTTTGTGGGTCTTGAAATAAATCTTTTGTTTCTGCAAACAGACCCAGGGAGGCTTTTGGCAATGCAGCATCCTCCCCTCCCAGTTCCTGTGTATTAATTCAAGGATTGTCAAAGCAGATTCTGGAGAGTCTGTGAGTTAATGCAGGAGAATGCAGAGTAGATAAATTATTGCATGGCATTTTATACAATATCAGTTCTGGATTGAAGGGGGAGATCTTAGATGAGTGTTTTTGCATTCACAGATAGTATTGCTTTTGATTCCTTCAGAAGAAACAAACAGTGGTCTTGTCATGGAAGTGACTGCTGGAGTTGGAGGACAAGAAGCGATGCTGTTCACTTCAGAGATATTTGATATGTATCGACGATACGCTGCCTATAAAAAGTGGAAATTTGAAATACTAGAGTATTTTCCCAGTGAAATAGGTCAGTATCTTACCCAAAAAAAAAAAAAAAAAAAAAAAGGGTAATTGTTTGTAACGTTCTAATTTAAGCTGAAAAATTCATTCTTATGCCATATGAATTTCCTGACTACAGGAAACAAATTTCTGGGAAATTATATTTAGAAGCAGAGATTGAATGTCTGGGTACAATTTTCTTCAGCTTCTGTATTTGAGAGTGATATCCCACTTGAGAAGCGCTATTAAAATAATAACATACTAAAAAAAAAATTCTTTCAGTAGTTTCAAAAAAACAGAAATGAAACTAAGGGCTTGCAGATAAGAAATTCAGAAGGTCATGCTGTTATGTTTTAGTTTTATATAACCTGTGTTTGTAAAAAGAAATTGAGGATTATACAGGGAAAGGAGATGTTTGGATGTAGCTCATGTAACAGCTAATGGATACACAAAGTGAGGGAGTTGCTGAAACTTTGAGAGGAGAACTAAAACATATGATCGCCTAAAAAAGCCTTTGAGTAAAATTTAACTTATCAGTTTTTCACCTTATTGATGCTAGTGAAAAGAGGTGCCTTTATAAAAATAAATAGCATAAAATAAAGAGCAACTTGTAGCTGAATGCAAGAAGATTAGAAACTGTTGTATTTGGTGATGGAGCTGTTAAGTTGATTCTCTGCATCTCTGGGAGCAGTGTGTTTACAGAAAGAGAGCATGGTAGGTTTACATAACAAACAGAGGCAGGACATTAATTTACTGATTGTACCAGCTGATGTGTAAATTTGTTTCACAAAAATCAGGCTGCTGTCTCTACATGACTTTCTGCACTGACACTTCCGTCATTGCTGAAAGCCACATTACCAAGTTAATTCAGCAGACAAACTACATACAAAAATTAATCAGTTTTCAGGTGATCCAGTACAACAGAGGGAAAGAGAAATAATCATGGAGAGAGTGGAAGCAGAAAAATGTGACTTCATGTCCTTCCAGCAGTTGAAGGTTCAGTGAGCTCAGGTTAACTGCAGACTGAAATATGATGGTGTGCATGAGTGGTGGTAGGGACCACTTTTTGACAGATAGCTAGTCACAGTTCTCAGCAGGCTGGACCTGCTAAGTCTGTGTTGACAGATCTGCAGCCTTGCTGTTATGTATAGTGTGGTAAGTAAAGCTAGTGTATTTTGGTAACCTATATTTTGCTGTGGCAGTAATGTGTATTTTACAGTGGGAATGGATTGGTAGTTGGGTGCTCACACATTTTGCATCTAGTACTTGAAACTATTTGTATTTTCATCAGCATCCTTTTTTCTTTTTTATAGCTACAAACAGTTCATATTTATAATTATGTTTTTATTAACTCTTCTGATAGATAGGTATTGATAAAAAGTAATGAACAACATGAAAAATAATCATTTAAAATTTTTGTTTTAATTGAGGAAAGAAAAACAAGGAAAATAGCTTGCTTGAGAAACATTGAAGATGTAGTTGGAAGAGCTGGGAAATTACAGGATGTAATCCATCAGAACAGCTAATCTCTCTTTAGTCAGTACTTCACCAGAAACTGAACTAGATTCTGCAATGACAAACTTACTTGCTTTTAAAAGCAAATTGAATCAGCATGGTACAGGTTAGATAAGTATAAACGATATGAGGGAAAGGGAGGAGTTTTCTTTATTTCATACCTGAAGAAGAGGGACTTACGGAAGAAGTCAGCTTTAATAGGGACAGTCCCACTTTATAGCCAGCTGCCAACTTTACATCTCTTCTGTGTCTCTCCATTAGCAGTTTTGAGGCTGCAGTGCTAATTGGATCAATCTGCTGATTTGGCTTAAAAGCTGCCTATTGTTAGTGGATAGTTCAGGCAGATCTGACTCAACTAGCAGCCCTGAGATTACAAGAGAAAGGGAGCTGTGCTTGACTACCTTTTTGGTGAATTCTTAGATAATGAACACAAACCTGCAGAAGTATTCTTTTCAGTGCCTGAAATTGGAAATCAGAGTCATAAATTAATACATATCTAACCATTTTTTTCTTATTGAAGCTTCTTGTTTAATGGGGTTAGATACGTGTCAGAACTATTCTGACTTACTGAGGACTTGCCTATAGAATGAGATGAATATTTAGGGAAGGAGGATATAAACTTGCAGTAAAAAAAAAATTTGCCTTATTCTTTGTTTGCCTCTTAAATGCATTTCCTCACCATACTCATTTTTATGACCACACACACATCCAAAACTTGAGATGCTGGGAGTAAGTTGCAAGGTAGAACCACTGTAGATGGCACAGACACCATATTCCTATACAGTTCCTTAGGTCCAGGGTTTATTAAGAAGCAAGTTAAAGATATACACTGGTATGGCTGATGATTATATCCCATCCACACTGAATTCTTATGGACTGCATGAGCAAAAAAGAAGGTCCTGTACTAAAAGATCAAGCTTCCTCATTTCAAAGAGCTCCAGAATCTGAACACAAAGAGGTTAATAAGGTGAATGTTAAGCACGGCTGCAACTAAGAATTAGTCTAAATCCACTCTTAACTTACATTATGGACACACCACCAGAAATGACTCTGAGAAATAGCATATTTGAGGTTTAACATGCGCAGTAAAGCACAGTCCCATGTGGTATTGTTTACTCCTTGCTCTATAGCAGCAGGTGGAAGCATAGATATCAAACTTTGTTGTGGTCTGAATATAACGTGACATAAGGAAACTAACAGAGCTCAAGCTCCTTGTTTGTTGCACCTTGGCTTTACAGAATGGAGAGGACGCTTTTAGTTAGAGGCAAACAATAGGTAGTAGGAGCTAGCTGTGTTTGACAGGCCTAAGTAATGTTTGCAATATTAAAAAAATAAAAAAAAAAATTAAAAAAATGGATAGAAGGTTTGTTTGAATTTTCTTGGATTTGACTGTGTTTCTTGATAAACCTGAAGTTACTGTGTATTGGTAATAGTGTATCTGAAGCAATATTACCTAAATAAATACCTGTTTTAAACTACTTTCTTGGTCATCTTGTACTAAGCTCCACATTACCACAGTTGCACAATCATTGCTACAGACTTAAAGTCTCCTCAACATATCACAGATGTAACTGCAGATCAGATAGGCAGACTGTACTTGTTGTAGATGTGCTAATGACAGGACAAGTGAGGGAGAAAAGACAGAACATTAGCTATTGCAATGAACTGCTTATTACATAATTAATTTTGTCTAGAGTGCCATTCAAGTTATTTTTACATCGGATTTGGCTTGGCTTTTTCCTCATGTGCAGAAAATGCTTCTTATATCTTTCTGTTGTTGTGATTTTTTTTTTTAATTTTTATTTTTTTACTATTACTATTTTTTAGTACTTTTACATCTGAAGGAGCAACTATGTTTTGATTCTAGCACTGCAAACACAAATACACAGTTTGCTTAGGTTACATATATCTTCTTCTACAAGAGGGGTTATTTTGTTCATTTGAGTACTGTTTGCATAATAATTAAGATTTCATGGCTCCTGTTAGAGAGTACCTTACTGATTTAAACTGAAGTGTTTGATGCATTTTCTTATTAGTTAAAATACATGCTTTTGAGTCATATTTATCGTGATGTTTTTGTCTTACAGAATTGGTTGTAGATAATGACTATAAATCAAGAACTGCTTGTGTTGAGTGATGCATTTGATTGGAAAGTAATATAGATCTCTACAGGTGGGAGTAAAATTTTAGAATTCACAGGGACAAAAATGAGGTGAAAGTAAGGAAAAAAGGCAATTTCAGCTGATTTTGACAAACCTAACTGTAAAAAGTAATGTGTTTCAGTAAAGTTAGGAGGGAGCATTAAATTTCTGTAGAACAAAAACATTTGCAGTAGTAGTGAAAAACCTCGCCTGCATTCTGGCTGATGACTGACTTCTATAGTGTGCAGTGATATCACATTCTATGTTCTCTTCATCTTTCTTTTTTATAAAGCTGTTACCTTGTCCCCTAACCTAGAGAGCCTAAAATGGTATTTCTGAGAAGTATGTATGTGCCTCTCATTTTCCTGGGCTGTGCTTTTACGTTCAAAGACTTCATACAGCAATATTCTTTCAAGGTTTTCTCTTTTTCAGTATCTCCCTTGGCACACCACCTGTTCTGCTGAGAATGAGATCTGGGAACTGATTTGAATTAAAAAAACAAAGCAGTTAAAATAATAATAATAATAATAATGACATTCACAGTGCCATCAATTCTCTAATCTTTCAAACAGTTCTGCTAGCACAGCTGAAAGGATTGCACTCCGGCAAACAAGGAGGAGGAAGAATGCCATTGACTAGTATTGCAACAAACTTTCTGTCTTGATTGTATTGGGTCTTAGTTCGAAAGTTCCAATTCTGAACATTCTATGCTAACTTTCAGTGTGTTGCTGTCAAACATTTTGCTTAATATGTGGGTAAGGGGGCAGGAGCTCTGCTAATTCTGATGGAGTAAAAACTTGAAATGGAAGAACAAACATGAGACGTAAAAGAGAATGGGGAAGAATAATTAAAAAAAAAAAAACAAAAAACAGATGTCCCACACTAAGTCCATAGACTTACTGTAATGGTTTTTTTCTGTATCCACTACATGTTGAGGTTCTCAAATACTACTCAAAAGAATTTGATATAGTTACTGAAAGTGGCTCTCAAAACTTGATCTTTACATAAACTTACAATTGGTGTCAGTTTTCTGCTATAGTTGAGGTATTGTATGTGTGCATGGCTCATAAACAACCTTTTATGTATGTATAAAAAATTCAATTGGATTCTGTTAGAAGAACTTGACTATCCTTTACTTGATATATATTGTGTGAGAATGTTTGTTTTGGAGTTCTCTTGCATTTTTGATGTAATCCTACTCAAGCATCAAAATGATAAATATGTAGTTTTAAGAAATAAACAACAATGATGCCTCAGTATGCTTGAAATGTAATAACATGTAGCCAATATTGTTTACACTTCTACAACTGTTTTTTATTTAAGGTGGCCTAAGACATGCAGTTGCCAGTATAGCAGGCCTTGATGCTTACAAGTACATGAAATTTGAAGGAGGAGTGCATCGTGTTCAGCGTGTGCCAAAAACAGAAAAACAAGGGCGCATTCACACCAGCACAATGACTGTTGCAATATTACCCCAACCCACTGAGGTAACATTTATTTTTAGTATAACAGGTATTACCATAAGCAATGCTTTTACTTGCCATATTGCTTGTACCAAAGTCTTTTCTGTATGTCTAGTTATTCTCTTTTAATTATGATTTTGCTTTTTGATCTAAAAGTTTTAAGTTGTATTTGATTGCTTATTTTTGCCTAAGGGAATAAAATATATAATTTCTATATTTCATCATAATTGTTATCTCAAACTCACTGGCAGTTTACTTCACTGTCACTTGAAAATATACTGTAACTGTGCCTTGCATGTTCAGTGGATGCAGTGGCAAAAGACTAGTTTAGAGAAGACGTAGATATTTGTTTTAGAATCCTCTTACTTATTTTTATAGTATCCTCATTTTCCCCTTCCAAATTGCATAAGTGACAATTCATCCTTAGCAGATTTGCTTGGTTTTAAATAATTGGCTAATAATTAAAACTTTGGATGTTCATCTTAGCAAACTGCCAAAATATTTTATTCCTTCTTCTTGTCCCTAAGCTGTTTCATTACTTCCTCCCAGAGATCACCACCCCATTCCAGAGCCAACAAAGTCACTATGTTCTCTTTTATGTGAAACCCATCCAGTCAAGTTCAAATACTGTTTAACTTGTCTGAGGGAGAGTGCAGAACTTTCAGAAGAGGGAGGAGATTAGTGCTCATGGATGGTTATCTTTGATTTCCCCGCTTTTTATAAGTGGATCTGAGCTACCACTCAAACTTTAGGAAAAACATATTTGTTTGATCTTACCTGAATATATTTTATAAAATAAACCAATTGTGCATATTTGACTTCTTTTCTTTTTGTCTCCCATGACAGATGGAGCTGAAAATTAATCCAAAAGATTTGCGAATAGAAACAAAGAGAGCTAGTGGAGCTGGAGGGCAGCATGTCAATACCACAGACAGTGCCGTACGGATAGTTCATATTCCAACAGGTGCTTCAGTTTTCCTTTCTATAAGAACTACACTGTAAAAATGCGGTCATAATTTCCTTCGTACCGTGTTATTTGAAAGAACAGTTTCAAACCTGGGTAACTGAAGAGCAAAGTTTTTGTGTTATTTTTGTGTGTGCAGAAAATCTCTATACTGTTGTAAAGGCAGTGTCTTGTGCTTACCCTTATTTGTAATAGTTAAGGCCTCAGTAGGTAAGCTGTCAGTTTTTCCACTAAGTGTGACACTCATGAAGTATTAAAATCAATTTATAAAAAAAGTTTTATATTAAGCTTTCAACTAATGGAAAAGAAATTGAAAAACAGAAGTTAAAATCTTAGGATGTACTTTTTCTTGACTGTTCTCTGAAAGAGAGGTTGCTCTTTTTCCTTATTGAGTAAGTAAGTTTTAAGTGTCATCCGTTGCAGAGTGTGCTTAGGTTGCCAGCTTCCATTTGTCTTCTGGCTCCTTTCCTATGGATTGCAGACATAATTACAACACCCATCCCCAGGGCTCAGGTTAGGAAATGTAAGAGGGATAAGATACACCCTCAAATGCTACCTGATGTCAGCTATCGTATCTTTTATTGCTGTTTCTAAGCTTTTAACCTCCTTTTGAGCAATCCACATCTGCCTTTGACTTTCATTGCTTTTTAACTTTTCCTCTTCTCCTCCACAAACATTAGTCAGGCTTTACAGCATCAGGATAATCCTGAGTACACTTTATCTTTGCATATCCAGGTTTTTGCCACCCATTTCTTTGCATTTATTGAATACATAAATCCACTCTACACTTGTTGCATCACCTCAGTAAAGTGGAGGATAAATAGTGAAGATAATAGCATTCTACGTAAGACACAATGACAAAAAAGTACTCAGATTAGAAAAATTTTGTATTGTTTTGTTTTTTTCCAAATGTGCAGACAAAAAGCAGCAAATGGTCTTAGCTTTTGCTGAAAGCAGTTATTAGGGTTTTTTTTAATAAAAATATTAAAATGTATTGCAATTGTTTTTTGTGTTTATGTGCTAGGAGTAGTGCATAGGGGTATTCGTGGGGTTTTCTTTTTTTTTTTTTTTTTTTTTTTTGCATTTCACCTAATCTGAAATTTTGTTATTTATCTTCATAATCTCTCTTGCTTTTCAAGTATTCTTTCAAATTTTCAATTTCTGTCATCCCAACTCCATTTACAAGTCTTCACTGTGACCCCAAAAGTTGTTCTTAAAGTTTGCTTTAAGACAACAAAACTTGTATTTCATACATTAATGCTAAGTAATTATGTATCAGTCTACTGTAATCTTACCAGAGTTACTTATAGCATTTCCAAATAGAAACTTAGGTTGTACCATCTTCTTCCTGCGTTTATTTTTCCTGCTCTTTTCTTAGGTTGTTAATTTACTGTCTTAACTTGAATTGTATATTTGTTAGAAGAGACCATACTTTTTTTTTGTATGTTCTGTATAGCCACTATCTAGTGTACATTCCTGCTGTTTTACTGCTAAATTTCCTAGAACTGTGGTAAAAAAATTACAGATATCTTTAGAAGTTTATCACTTATTTCATTGTTCAATATACCAAAATAAATTTATTTTCTTCTGCCATAAAGCTCAAAACACAACTCAGCCTGCAGTTAGCAGTTCTGTCCCCAAAGTATCATCAGACATGAAGGAGCCTGGACTTTCACCTTCCTTGTCCAAATATACATTTTTTTTCCTCATAATAAAAATCTCTAGAAATTGCAAACTCTTTTTTATATGTTCCAGTTTAGTGTTAATTCTCATTATGTTTTTGGCAGGGGTCACATCTGAATGTCAGCAAGAAAGATCTCAAATTAGAAACAAAGAGAAGGCTATGCAAATGCTTTGTGCTAAACTGTACAACATCAAACTAGAAGAAGAAACCAGAAAGAGAAACAGTGTTCGAAAGATTCAAGTAAGTTTCATTTTGTGAAGATTTAATTCTATATGAGCATACGTTCTTGGGAGTTAACTCCTGTGTTCTTTCACAAGTTTAAGAGCAATTAATGCGACTACCGATCTAGTCCAAGCACTACATAACAGATACTATGTATTTGTAAGAAAGAGAAAAATTTCATTTTAAATGCTTAATCAGTATTTCACTCTTCCTACAAGAAGGCTTTTAATCAGTGTTGTAAACTTGATTCTTCTTGTTTGATAGATTGGAACTAAAGGAAGATCGGAGAAGATCAGAACATACAACTTTCCACAGGACCGGATTACTGACCACAGGATAAGCAGATCAGTGCATCATACGGAGTGCTTCATGTTAGGGGAAGAAATGCTAGATGAAATGATACAAACTCTGAAGGAATACGCTGATTATGAATCTTTAATGGAAATTATTTCAGGACATGAAAAATGAATCTTGCACTTTGTCAAGCCATGTCTACAGGTAGAGATACTCGCCTGCAAAAGAACTCCTTGGAGCACTATTCAGACAACAGAACTGCTTTTCAGATAATGAAAGCTGGTTTCCTCGTGGCTGATAAACAGTATTCTTACTTGTTGAGTAAAACACCTTGTTGCTGCTGCAGTGTGCTTAAAGTAAATTTGACTGGGCCAGATGTAACTGCAGTTTTTAACTTCTCCACTGAGAAGATACTGATACACCACTCTCAAAAGGTATGCATTAAAAATGAGTTTTTTCTAGTTCCAAGTCTTGTTCAAACAATAATTTCAGTGTCACCACAGTGTCAAATAGCTTAGTCAAGATAACAAAAAAAGAAATCCTATTTTGTTTAGTAATACAAAGAAAGTGATAAATGAACACACTACTAATCTGCAGATTTGTTAATACCTTTTACGTGGTATGGGAGAGGGAGTTCTTGTAAATCAAGCAGAAGGAATTGTATAGGAAGATTCCTTGTTCCAGCAAGAGTTCTAGAAGAAAAGTCACTAGTTTTGTGAATTCTTTTTAAAAAGAATGTTTCTGTTCTTGTGTCAGAACAAAAAAAAAAAACAACAAAATAGGGTGGCTGTCTTGAAGGCTGATACAATTTCAGTCTCTATTTCTATACAGTTTATTGTTTTTAATTGGATCTGCACTTTTTTTTCCCTCTCAAGTTTACATAATATGAATGACTGCTCACTGTTTTAAACTGTTCAGTTTAACAGCATCTTAAAACATTTGTTCAAAGCATAAGAACTGCCTTTTTCATGTACTAACATAGGTACAAATTCCTATCTGAGGTTAAATAAGACTGCATTTTACAATCTTAAGTATTTGTGATAATACAGAACTCCATGCTACGTTAGCCCATCATTCATTGTAGATATGTGTGTATACACACACAGAATGTATTCAAAGTACCAGTAAATAAGAAGTGAGAACCTAAGCAAAATATGACCTTGAATACAGTTGTTTACTTTGAGACTTATTAGCATAAGAAATTAGAGTAAGAAAGAAGTAAAAGCAGGAGTTTGCTACAGTTAGCTTATAGAAACATGGCTAAGTATGCTATATAAAATTTAACAAGGAATGAAAAAGCAAAACTGATCATTATCAGTTTATCATATCAAAGAATAGCTTAAGTTGGAGGGGACCTTAAAGATTGTCTAGCTCCAACCCCCTGCCATGGCAGTGTTGCCAGCCACTAGACCAGGCTGCCCAAGGTCCCATCCCACCTGGCCTTGAACCCCTCCAAAGATGGAGCATCCAGAACCTCTCTGGGCAACCCATTCCAGCTTGTCACCATCCTCTGAGTAAAAAAACTTCCTAACATCTAACCTAAATGAACCTTCATTTAGTTTAAAGCCATTCCTTCTTGTCCTATCACTATCAGACCATATAAAATGTCAGTCCATGTCCTGCTTGTAAGCTTTCTTCAAGTACTGGAAAGCCACAGTAAGATCTTCCCAAGCCTACTCCAAGCTAAACAAGCTCAACTCCCTTGACCTTTCTTCAGAAGAGAGGTGCTCCAGCCCTTTGTTTGTCTTCATGGCCTCCTCTGGACCTGCTCTGACAGCTCCACATCCCTACTGTGCTCCGCAGTACTCCAGATGGAGCCTCACAAAGGCACAGTAGAGGGAGACAATCACTGCTTTTTGCCTGCTGGCCATCCCTCTTTTGATGCAGCTGCCTTCCAAGCTCCAAGAGCACACTGCTGTCTCATGTGCAGCTTTTTGTCCATCAGAATCCCCAAATCCTCCACTGAGCTGCTTTTGAGTTTGTCTCCCAGTCTGTTCTCATATCTGGGATTGCCTCAACCCAAGCAAAACAACTTGCACTTGGCTTTGTTGAATCTCATCAGATTCTTGAGTGCCTGCTTTTTTTGCTTGTCCAAGTCCCTCTGGATGGTGCCCCTCCCTTCTATTGTTTGAACTGTGCCACTCAGCGTGCTATCATCAGTGAACTTGCTGAGAGTACACTCAATCCCACTGTGTTGTTCATTTCAAGATTGCAGTTTGAATGGATGCATTTCAAAAACAAGTATCGACTCTATCAGCTTTGTTTTCTAGCAAACGTAGCCTGGTAAGAAAGACCAAGTTCCAAATATTTAAATTAAAGGGGTTGTATATATTACCTTAAGATGTTGACGTGCCTGTGTATGTTAGGTGAGGTACACATTTCCTGTTGAGAAGTGTGAAACCTTACCTATGTCTAGATTTACCAGCAGATCTGCTGGTACACTCTTTGTATTTAAAATATTTAGAGATTGATGGGATCAGCATCTAAGACTGAAGTCTTTATTTCTACCACATCAGTGCTGCAAACAGAGCCATTACTGCACTCTTCCTGATTTAAAGCCAGGTTCTGTTCTACCAGATGATGAAAGGAGTGTGAGATTCCTTCTCTCTTAGCATTGTATTTTTCTAGGTGCATAAGGGACATGAGCCTGGCTTAGCTCTGGGACTAATGCATGAACCCCATGAATGTTAGTTAAGGTCTTTGCCGCCATAAGGTTTCCTTTCATATCCCGTGTGGGGCCTTGTTGGTCCAGCCCTGCCAGGCCCACAATCTCCCTGCTTTTTTCTGTCTCCTAAGCAGATTCTGGGTGCTTCATTGCTTGGCCAGGGGCTAGCGTGAGAAAAGTCAGGAATCCAGGGACCCTGTGATTCTGGCAGGCGGCTGACTGGCATCTAAAAATGAACACACCTGAGTGCTGTACAGGGTGTGCTTATAACATAGTGTAGGGATCTCGCTGGTCTGCCAGTACAGACTTTATGCCATAAAGGTTTGAAGTCTCTTTTATGTGCTGTATTAGTTTTAATGCAAGATTTGTATGTAGGTTGCTCCGAAAGTTATGCCTCCTGTTTATTTCCAGGGCAACTACGACAGATGCAAAGTACACAGTGACAATATTTGATAGAGCAAATTCTGAACTACAAACAGTTTTTCAACATAGTCACCGCCATTAACTGTGCACATTTGGCAGCAGCGAACAGAAGCCTGCATGCTGCATTTGTAAAAGTCATCAGCAGAGGTTGACCTGCTGTTGCCGCTGCTGAAACACACCCCTCAACCCTCACTATGCTCACATCCACTGGTTAATGGCTATCAATGTTCAGCAAGCATCATTGAATGTCAATGGGTGCTATTTTTTTCTGGGTGCCATGGAGGCATTACTTGAGGAGTAGCCCCTGTAGTCTCACTGCACGTGTGGCCTTCCTGAGCTGTGAGATGCACTGTAAGGGTGGTGGGGTACCTTCTTACTTCCAGTCTGTTCTCAGGATGCCAACAACTACTAGTGCCCATTATACTTAAAAAGAAATCCTCCTCCCTGTGTCAGCGGTGGGGAAGAGAGGTGATGAGGTATGCAGTCCATGCAACACGTTCTTCCCTGGAACTCTTGTTCACTGATGATGAATTCATACCGTATGCATGCAGAGAGATGCTGTGACTGTCCCATACACATCCACTTGAAAATGAATGGAGATGGAGGAAGGCGGCAGTAGCACTCAGACGCGTCACAGCATTGCTGTAGCGACTCATTCTTTTAAACAAGCAGTAGGAGACCCTCCACGCGGGCAGGGCGGGGGAGGAGCGCAGCAGCGCCCGGAAGCAGGGTCTGCTCGCACAGGCAGGGCGATACGCGGCTCCCGCGCTGCCGGGACCGAGGGGCGAGCGCGGCCGGGCGGGAGATGCTCGCGGCCACACCTCCGCGGAGCGCGCGCGCGCGCCACCGCCCGACCACTCTTCTCTCTCCCCGCCTGCCGAGGAGGGAAAATGGGAAGGCGGCCAGCTTCGCTCGCCGCGCCTCGGATTGGCCCCCGCCTCCTGCCCTCCTCCCCATTGGCCGCTTGGCCGGAACCGGCGGCGTCCGATTGGCTGGCGCTCTTTTGGTACCAAATTCAAAGTTTTTAAAAGTACCCGGCAAGGGCGGCCGCGCACTTTCAGCTTGCGGGACGCGGCGGCTGCAGCGCTGCAGGTGAGCGCCGGCTGCGCCGCGCCGTGCGGGGATGCTTGGGGAGAGGTGGCGCCGGACTCGGAGCTGCACAGGGAGTTCTGCGGTGCGAACTCCTGGGCAGCGAGGACGGATGGGGCGGTGGGGTGGGGAGCACCGGCTGAAATGCGCGGGGATGAGTCAGGGGCACTGGAAATGGGGATTCTTGAGCCTTGCCTGCTCTCTCCCTACCGCCGGCGCTGGGATGGGATAGCGATGAATGGAAACCACGGGACGCTCCGGTCCTTCTGCCGCGCTGCATGCGGGACGCTGCCTGTCCCAAGCCCGCCTCTCTGGGACCGGGCTGTGCCGTGCGGCGGGGCGCCCATCCCAGCGGCGGGCAGCGCTGCTTCTGTCTCCCTTCCGCCCGCGGGGCCGCGCCGTCGATGGGAGGCATCCGCCGCCGCCCCGTTACCACTATTTGGGGGGGAAAGCAACCGGTTAGGGGAAAGCGCGGTTCCCTGCCCCCGTGTCCTTGATCCCAGCCGAACGGGAGCCGCTTGCTGACAGCGCGGGCTGTGGGCCCGGTTCTGGGGTTCCGGTACTCGTTGTGGGGGAAGGGGTGAGGGAGCCGCGTATCCTGCCTCTGGCTTTAGTTGTGCAAAGGCAGAGATGGATTCGTTCCATATTTCCTCGGCACATAGGTATGAAGGAGTGGGCTTTTCTCCGAAGTGCATTGAAGGAGCTCCATTTTTTTTATAGTTTTTGTCAATCTGTTGAAATTACCTGAATTCCCTAAATTAAACATCAGCTCAGATGGAGGAGCTTGTCTTTCATAACAATTCCGAAGCATAAGGGAAATGCTTTCTCCGCAGGTTTGGGCAGCAGTGCTGGCTCCCCATGCCCATCCCCCCGCAGTCTCGGCACGGAAGAGCCCCGCACTTGGCGGGCGGGAGGGAACGGGCAGCGCGGGCCCCATTTCCTCCAGCACTCACCAGTCCCCGCGCCTCTGCCTCTCACCCGCCAAAACCACGCCTGTAACCTTACTTCACCTTGAGCACTACTGCTGCCCCCACGCCTCCACGTGGTCTGGCTCATTTCTGCTGTGCCCTTCGCCCCCTTCCCTTTCCAAAATTGCGTGATGCCTGCCTGCATCAGTAGCATTCCCTCTGGCCTTGGGGTGCCAGTCTTTTGGGCAGACCTGGGATGGCTCTGCTCCTTACTGGGCCACTGTGCTTTCTCCTATGGCCTTCGGAGCCGCTGCTACCAAAGAGCAAGCGTCTCCATCATATCATTGCGCAATGGCAGGAATGGGAAGCACTGGTGCGTAAAACCAGTGGAATGATGGCAGTGTAAATCATTCTCTGTCACTGTTCCCTCATTCCACCTATATGCAGCATCAAGCTCTAGCTTTGAGTGGTTGATCAAGCTTTTGGTTCCACTCATTGTATGCTCTAGAGGGTTAGTTGGATGGAAGCTAAATTCACTCTTTCCAGAGACGGCAACAGAAAGACTTTGTGATGCAGTTTAGGATGTGCACTAATATGTTCCCTTTTATTACCTGCAGAATACAAACAGAGCAATGAAATCGAACTTTAATCACTCTTTCAAAATGAAATGTGATTTCGATCGAACGGCTCTTCATGGTGGGTTCACACCTGTAAAATCTGCAGAGAAAACAAAAC